ATTACTATTTGCAAATTTTCAAAATATCAAGAAAGTATTCAATTTCAGCTTTACTTAATGAAAATTTAAGAAAAAATCTTAAAAAAGTGAAAATTACTTGCAACTGTAGTAAATGCAATGGATCACTTGTTGTCCCATAAACAGAATTTTTGGATAGATATCGAAAAACAAAAGGCAAATATTCAACAAATGAAGAATTCACATTTTGGCACAGAATGAGAAATATTTCATCAAGTCAAATTATATTATTAAGCAACAATCGACAAAATCTGAGATTGAATGATGTAAGTTCTGAAAATGATAAATCTGAAGTTGATAATAAAGAAGAAATAAATGATATAATCGAAGATTATTTAACATCAAAATACAAATTTTCATTAAATTCTAGCAAATTTTAGATAGTCATTTTATGTAGATTTTGTTGTGAATTATAAACTATAGAATTTGATTTAATTTATTGAATAGTGTAATAGATGCACTACTAAAATTTATAAAATTGGTGCTAATTGAAATTGGTTATAAAGAATTTGAGCTCTTTTGTGGATCTTTGTATACCATCAAAAATAAACTTGAATTATTAGATCAGTTTGTTAGTTTTGTGACATGCTAAAAATGCAACAAATTGTATAAATAGGATGATGTTCTTAGTTTTTAAAAATCAATCAGCTATTGGACATGAAGTGTCTTCATATTGAATTTTTCAATTTGGCAATAAAATGAAGAAAAATTTGCAATTTCCCATTGTCTACATAATCAGAATTATTAAATAAAAATATAATTAATTGACCTAATTTAGTTTTTTCATATTCTACTATTCAGTATCAATTGTCACAAATGTATCAAAATCTGAATTTTGAATCTAATCTTTGGTATTGAGTAGATTGATCAAGCATTGATAAACTTCTATATGATATCTATGATAGTGATATTTGAAAAACTTTTAAAGATAAAAACTCAGAATTATTTTTTAGTAAAGAAACAGCTGTTTGTATTTGGGATTGGTGCTAAATATCGACTGGTTTCAAACATTCGATAATAAAGCATATAGTACTGAAGTTATATATGTGGCTATCACAAATTTGTCACGCGAAATATGATTTAAACACAAAAATATGTTGATTCTTAGTATATTACCAGGTCCTAGTAAACCAAGTTTACATCAAATAAACCATTACCTTTCTCCAATTGTCGATGAATTGATACAACTATAGCAAGGAATAAAGCTCATTCAACTGCTGAAAATGAAGAAGAAAAAATAATTCGGGTGACCTTAATTTTAATTTCGTGCAATATTCCTGCTGCACAAAAAGTGTGTAGACACATTTCAGCACTAGTATCATATCATTATTGCAAGAAGAATGTCAATTATGAAAATAATTATTATAATTTTAGTGGCATGGAGAATATAGATGAATGGTTTATACTGAGAGATTCGACAATACATAAACAAGATTCTATCGAATAGAGATGCTGTAGCTCAAATACAGCACAAAAATGTTTTGTCAATAAGAATCATGTCAGATGGTCCAAATTCTTTTGCCTACCTTATTTTGATCCAATTCGGTATTTAGTTATCGATCCTATGCATTGTCTTTTCTTAAGTATTGGTAAATAGCTCATTAAATGAATATGGATCAAAGAAGGAATACTGATGAATAATGCATTGGATGAAATACAATTAATGATAGAAATTTTTTAAGTGCCATCAGATATTGACTGAATTCTAAGAAAAGTAAATAGTGACGAAGGTTTTTCGAACTTTACTGCAGATCATGAAGAAATTTTTTCACAATATATGTAACTATTATTCTATAGAAGCATCTTCCAGATGTGGATCACCAAATTCTAACGAATTTTGTCAAGATTTGTCAAATCATAGTATGCCAAATTTTAAGAAGAAATTCGTTAAATGAGGCTCACGAAAGATTAATCATGATGATTAAACTAATAGAACAAAAATATGGGGAAGAAAAAATTACTTCAAATCTTCATCTTTCATTACATTTATATGAATGCACATGTGATTATATGCCATTGTATACATTTTGGTGCTTTTCATTTGAGAGGATGAATGGTATATTAGGTAGGTTTTTTAAACAAATTTAACATTCGGAAGTAAAATTCTAACAAATTGTTAATCTATGTTCATTGCCTAATAGTTACTGAAATATTGAATCTGAATTAATGCGAAGATTGATGAATGATCGTCAAATTATTAATCTAACTATGTCCTATCCTAATAACCAGGGGCTTGAAATTTTAAATAATCGATCAAATATCAGCTCAATTTCTAAACTAGATCAGTTTTCAGCTGACGAATTATATCGATTTTTAAACAATACATATAATATTCACAAAACAATAATTAATGGATCCGAACATTTTTCAGGTGAATTCTTGCATCTGAAAAAACCAAATTTAGAAGTATCTGTTGAAATATTAGATCTATTAGTCGAATACTACAAGGTATCTTATGAAACCATGGACTTTCGAAGGCCATTTATGAAAGATAATAAAAATTCGATAATTATTAATAATAGAGCAGATCAATATGATAGATGCCAAATTGGGAGTGAAATATTCGATTCTATTATATCTTCACGAAATATTAAGGGCTTATTTATATTAGCTAGATTCGTGAATCACGATAAAAGTGTCGATTTATATCTGGGACAAGTTCAATTCTTCTTTACATATTCAATAAACTTTCTGAATAATGTTATTGAACATCGATTGACCTTTATTCAGTGGTACAAACTGGTTAATTCAACAGAAAATAGATTTTATTTCGGAACTGAAAATGACGCGAATATTGAATTGTGGAATACCGAATTTTACCCAGTTAGACGTGAATGCATAATCTCTGTTCATAATATTTTTGGCCGATTTATTCCATTTATATATAGAACCTCAAATCAACAAGACTCTCGCGAATATTTAGCTGTAATTCCTTTAAATCGTAAATATAATATACAATTAAAATTCAGCAAATGTGCGAATTTTGGTAAATATCTAACGATTTTTTGAGGAAAATTTTAACAAAAAATATAATAAAAATGGTTCAAATATGGCAGGTAATGTCGAATTATATAGTAAAAATTGATTGACGATTTATTTATGCTGAATTGTATAGTAGAAATTGATTAACGATTTATTTATGCCGAATTATATATCAAATTATATGGTAAAAATTGATTGACAATTTATTTATGTCATTAATATACTGCATTATTTATTTTTTGTCAAATATTACACAAGTGACATTATGTTGAATAAATATTTTTTGACTAGTGTAATAAAGAATTATCTATAGTAAAAAAAATTTTGATAGAAATAACCTTTATATAACTAAATAAAAAATTAAAGTTGAAATAACAATTATTTTTAATATTATAAAATAATAAAAATTTAAGTTATTAATGAATTAAAATTATTATAATTTTTATTAAAAAAGATTCTTTATTATTAATTAAAGAATAAATTGCATAATATTAAGTATTGTTAATATAACTTGTAAGTTATTTCAAAACTTGATTAAAAAAACAATATTAACTATAAAAAATGGAGAAAAAATAAAGAAAAATATCACATAAATTATCAATATAATCAATTATTGAGAAATAAACATGTTTTTCAAGTATTTGAAATATCAATAATAAAAAATAATAAAAAAAATGATATAAAAAATCAAGTCATATTAGAAAATACTGGTTATAGTGGTAAATATATTAATTTAAATTTAATGAAACAAAGTTTTTAAATATAAAGTTAAAAAATATATATATAATTTAATAATACATATGAATTTAAAGCAAAAAAATATTTTTAAAAGTAAATATACTAGTTAAAATTTTTTTATTAAAATAAAACATGTTAATTTAAACATATTTAATTTAACTAAGTTAAATAAAAGCAATTATAATTGAATATAACTTGAAACAGGTTCAAATCTATTGAATCAAATTCAGTTCAAATCAAATCAGTTCAAATCAAATCAGATCTATATCCAATTTGTATTTATAAAAATCAGATAGAATCAAATTTAGTTAAAATCCTATCTAATTTGATCCATTGTGATCACTAATACAATCCATCCATTCATACATTTAAATATTATTATAATGTTCATAATTTAATGAATTCAAAATCATTTTATGCAGAATACTGTATATCACTGGGAAATTTACAATACTTCTATATTTCTTTTAAAATGCATCCATATTAATATGTATCTTTATATTCTAGATTAGGACTAAAAGTCGCAATTCTACAGGTCAAGGATAATCATTTGGCATCATGGACTGCACTACTGTTGTCCATCCTTGACGACGTACTTCCTTCTTTGCCCAGCTAGAATTTCAAATAATTCTTAAGTACGTGAACCAATACTAGTAAAAAGAGTGACAAAAATGTCTTACAGTTCTAGTAGCTTGTCTCCTTTGTTATTTTGTTCGCTAAACGTAGCTTGTGGTAATAAAGTCTCGATAATTTCATACATTATCCTCGGTTTTGCCTCCGTTAACATATCTAACAGAAAATAATCAAATAATTGGAATTTTCTCAATTTGTAATGTTGATTAACTCGACCTACCGCAAGATCTCGGTTTTATAAAATCAAATACACAATCTGGATTTCTTTGATGACGTAGCTCAATATCACCATCCTACATAGTAAATATATTAACCAAAACGTTTTATGACGCGTAGATTATACTGATATACCTTTCGAAAAATTAAGAGCGATAATTTCGATTTGTTGAAATACTGATATGGTTCACGAGAAATCTGATTATTGATATTTTTTTTTATCCAGCAAAAATTTTCCACGTATCGGAAATTCCATCTTTCTGCTATTTGAACTATATCAGGTAAGAATTCCTTTTCAACCCAGATGAAAAGAAATCCCTTCGGAACAACACTTGTAATATTAAGTTCTCCCTTAATTATGCAATAAAAATTTAATCATAAACTTAATTAAATAACGTATAGTAATTAATTACTTACAAATTGTTGCAAGGTAATCTTTCCAGGTGATGGAATTTCTTTTGGTAAAAGAAGCGGAGGATCTATGTAAACTGCCTGAAAATTAGTTCCCAATTTTGTGAGATCCATAGACAAAATATCCTTTTCGAAATATCTGTAGGACATTAAAATTTATTTGATTCTTTTTGGAAAATTTTTAATATTATAATTAAAATTTAATGCATACCGTGAACCAAGAATAACTGTGGACGCTTCGATCAGTGGAGGAAAGATTGTATGTGCCCAAGAACGCGGCATCGGTAAAGGGGGAATCCTTATATACGTAGGAAGGCTTGGATCTATGTTACTTTAAAATATGACAAAATATAATGTTGTGTGAATGATAATAATATATATAATTAAATAATCATTAACTTATTCACCTTACTTTCTTCTTGACAGTGAAGAAATTTCCGTTTCTATCTTGTAGTCTAACCTGCATAATTTTGTATCGTTGCAGAAGACTCTCTCGGTCTATATTGCGCCGGCGTTCTGTTCCAGATTTTTCGATTTTTCTTCGCTTTCTTTCTCCAAATTCTTCATCCCAGAAGTCATTATCAACGGTCATGTAATCACTGTAAAAAGGGAACACAAAACCAATTTATTTCTTTATTCAAGACATGGAAATAATAGTTATACTTACTCTTCTTCTTCATACTCAGCAGTATTACCGTCTTCCATTTCAATTAACCAATAGTCTAAATCGTCGACTTCATCAAGGTTAGGCGCAAAGGTTGCGGATTTGACTGTAAAACTTGAAGTCCTTCTGAAAACTTCTTCGAGTTGTTCTTGCGTTAACCCTTCATTTTCTTTAAGTGAATTTTGCTGATTAGGAGAATTAAAATCTGGGAAGGATTCCGTAAGTTTTGAGGCAGCAATTTCTTCCTGAATTCGTTCTAACTCCTCAAACTTTTTCATTATTGCTCCGATGGACTCATCGTCCTCCACATACCCCACGTAAAGTGCATTACTAAATTTAAAAAATATTAATAAACAGCATTTATTCTAACAATATGTCTCGAAAAACATTTAATACCTTGCTGTCGATGTATAAGGATTATGACGCCGTCTTCTTAGTGATCTTTCGCTCATTGTTGTGAATAAAAGATTCGTGTTTGTTCGCGTCTGTTGCACATGCTCGTGCTCGATATAGTAAAGCTAATTGATCACATGATATTGGTTTTAATTTTCTAAAATAATAATTTTTTTTTTTGTAATACCCGCAGTCAGGCTAAATAGTAGTTTTAATCTTTAAAGAAGACAAAAGTATATATTCATCAAAACAGGATGAAAAATATTATAGCTAAACATCTATATCATATCTAATTAACTTGTTGTTGATATAAAAAGTCTTTAAGTCAGGTTTTGGGAATAATATTTTGCTCTGAAAAGGACTTTGAGTAAAAACTCTTCTAGTTCCTTCCATTACAATCAGTAATTTATCACTGCCACACGTCTTATCAAGCCACTGGTTAACAAAAACTATAAAAAGAAAAAAAGATATAGGAATATAAAAATATATAAATATGTATATAAATCCTATTTCTTTTCTAGACAAAATAAAGGATTTGTACTTTAATAGTTTTTTATTTTATTATTTTTCAAACTATATCTTTTCAGTTTATATTTTTTAATCTTATAATAGTTATTTGAAATTTTTCAATCTGTCTTGCTCAAGAATTAATTTAATTGTCTTGATTATTATTAAATTAAAAAAAAGGTGATCTCAATAACTTCACTAATCAAAGTGATAAGAGTAAAGAAATATTGTCTGAAAAATAATAGCTTAAAAATATATTTTTTAAATATTATTGATTTTATAATCTTAAAATTGAATAAATCTAATTGAAAAAGAGAAAAGAATTGAACATCATTAACTTTTTTGTTTTTTAATAATATTATTAGAATATATAAAATAACTAGTAAAAACTTATTTATATTTTATTATTAATATATTTTATATTTATCAATTATATAGTTACTTTCAAAAGTTTGAATTTACTTACTATGTTTTTATTATAAATTTCAACTTGACAATTTTTAAATTATTAATTATACAATCAAAAATTCTAAAATTTATATATATTATATGTTAATACTTATTCTATTTCTTAAATTTTTTTATTAATACATTTTATCGTTTTATTATTGTTAAATAGTTTTATTTTTTTATTAATTATTATATGATTTATGATAACAGCTAATCAAAATCCTTTAAAAGTAAAAATTTAATAAAGGAAGAAATTTTTAAAAATTATATATTAAAAATATATAATAAATAAAATTAGTATTAAGGTATAATATATATGGATTTTATAATTTTTGATTACATAATTAAGGATTTAAAAATTATTAAAGTTAATAAGCAAATATTTTAAAGATATAACTTAATACTTATTACCTTATATTGTTAAAAGAT